TGCACGAATGCGCACATCCAGCTGCATAGTAATAGGACATGTGTTGGCACAGAAGATAATCGCAGGAAATGGACACCTAGCTGCACCTTTTTAAAAACACTTTTGCACTTTTTGCATATAGAACATTGTGTAGTTGCATAGTAAAGACAATCTAGTTGCACAACAAGCACCAAAAGTGATATACAAACAGCATGGGAAGTTGGACACCAGTTGCACAGTTAAGTCATTTCAGTTGCACAGTAGTACCATAACAGTTGCACACTGGACTGCCTAGAGGAAAACTTAATTCTTTAAGGGATATAGAAAAACACCACACCTGTAGTCAAGTTGCAGTTATACAAGATGCGCAGAAACTCCTTTTCATCAGGTGAGATGCCTTGGTGGGATCTCAAGTATTTGGACAATGAAGGTTTGTTCATGAGCGGATGATTGTGGTCACGAACAAAGTGCGTCACCTCCCATCGCCCATCTATCAGCTTCAACAACATTTTTGCTTTGCACTGAGTCTGCTTTATTGTCTCACGTTTGTGCTTCTTCTTCTTCTTACTAGTACCAGCCTCCTCTTCAACAAATATTGGAGGTTCTTCTTCCATCTCCTCATCACTGTCAACAGATTTTGGATCTGGAATAGGGTCCAGGACAGGAGGAGCCTCAGCTCCTCCATCATCAGCTTTGGGCTTCTTGAACTTGTTGCAGCAAAACTGTTGTTTTATCAATTCATTGGTGCGGGGTGTCCGTCTAGATGTGTTCATCTTGATAGAGAAACCCATCCGTAGTGCGTAGCTGTTGTAGTGATCCTTAGCAATTTGAAGGTTGTCAAACCTCATGCCAACATAGGGTTTCATAGGTTGAGAACCAGCCCCATCCTCTCCTTCTTCTTCTTGCACAGCTCCGTCAACAGCCCCAGCTCCTAGCTCAGTCCTGGTTGGACCAGGAATATTTGCCTCGGTTCCCGTGTCATCTAGAGTATGGCTCTCTGACTGCAAAGACACCACTACAGGGGCACCACGGTCTGATGACTGGCCTGCCACATTGTCATGGCCCATAGGGTTACCATCATGACTTGCATGCGTGTAGTAAACAGATCGACCATTTTCTGTCCATTTTCCTTGTTGTATGTTGGGTTGCTGCTGATCCGTATCACGAGGAAGCTCATTGAGATCAGGAGGCAACTCATTGAGATCAAGCATTTTTTTTCCTTTTTTTGGATGCTACCACACACTCCCTGCACATATTAAAAAAGTAGAAATTGATGTCATCTATTGGTAACCACAGAAAAGAGTGTTTCAAACAACCTAAAAACTTAGTAAACAGGCAGTTGCACACCATTTTGTGACAATATTAGTTCTAAAAGCAACATGACTATAGCATAATCTTTATTATAACAGTTATGAATTTTTTTGTTTGCACAGAGTTGTTGTGTTAGTTGTACAGTTTGCAGTAAATAGCTGGCAAGAGCATGACTTCTTTTTACTACAGAGTTTTCTGACTTTTTCCCTTTGTTTTGTTGCAATGATCTGTAGGTTTTCTGTGTTGGCAAGGAGCTGTTTCAGATTTTTCTGCACATAATTTGATGTTACATTTGAGACGGAAAATCCAGGTGAAAGAAGAAGAATTGGAGGACAGATTATAGTTATGTATTTTCATCGTTGTTATGTTTTTAGTTCCAGTATATTGAACATATTTTTACACTATAGCTTTGTAATAGGTGCGGGACCAGAATATATGTGTGGGACAAGATTATATGCATGAATATGTTAATATGATTTGTGGCTTCATTAGCCATGGACAAAAGTTCTTGTGTTTTTGCTGTCGCACTACGGATTTCTGGTTTCGCTAGAATAGACGTCTCAATTGCCAGCATGCATTTTTTCCACTTGGCCAGCATGCATATTCAGTTGCACATTCAATGTTTTTAGTTGGCTAGAATAGATGTCTCAGTTGGTCAGATTGCATTTATTTCAGTTTTTGGCCAATATGCATGTTTAGTTGGACAGTTAATGTATTCAGTTGGTTAGAATAGATGTCTCAGTTGGCCAGGATACATTTTCTCAGTTTTGGCCAACATGCATGTTTAGTTGGCTAGAAAACATGTTTTTATTTGCACATATACTACAGTTTTGGCTAGCATGCATGCCGAGTACACGTGAGGTACAATGCTTGTTTTAGTTTTGGCTAGCATGCATGCCGAGTTGCCAAAATATAGGTTCAGTTGGTTGGGATGCATGTTCAGTTGCACATTTATGAATTTTTCGTTGCACATATCTATTGGACAGTCAATTTGTTCATTTGCAAACAATAACTACAAGTTGGTAGAATGCATGTTTAGTTTTTTGCTACAATGCTTGTTGAGTTGGCTTTAATCATGTTTTAATTGGCCAGATAACTGGTTTTTAGTTGGCTTGTTTAACACATTCAAGGTGGGAGAAACTTGTTTGGCATGCATCAAGTAGTTTTTGGCTTGTTTAACACATCCAGCAGTAACATCAAGTAGGCTGGTGTGATGTGCCAGATTCACCTCTTTTTTGAAGCAGCTTCTCCATGGATTTGTCCTAGACCCATGAAGAAGGGGGTTTACATATGCCTACATATATGCAGTAGAAGAAAGGGGGGAGTGAAGAGGGGCAGAGGGGGCTTACCTACTTGATGTTACTGCCTGGTATGGCTCTGACCACCCTGCCCTTAGATCTCCTTTTTTGAAGCAGCTCCTTCTTCTACTTTGGGGCTCCCATGGCGGCTGTGTAGGAGGAGGAAGAAGGGCTGGGGGCGATTCTGTTGGATCTCTTTCTGGCGTGCAGAAGAAGAAGATGGCAGCATGGGAGGGGTTGGGGCGAGCGGGCGTGGGGG